CTCCCTCCCTCCCTCACCTCCCTCACCTCCCTCACCTCCCTCACCTCCCTCCCTCCCTCACTTCAAACACCTCCATTGTCCTGTCTCCCCAGGCGCGCCCAGATGACTACAGCCCCAATTACCTGGCCAATCAACTCCCCGTCTCCTTCCACAAGCACTGGAACAACGACCCCTACAAGGTCTACGCTGACCTGGTCGCTGAGGTCACCGAGGTCGCCGGGGTCACGGAGGTCGCAGAGGAGGAAGTGGAGGTGGAGGCACAGAGGGAGGAGTCCGGCAAGAGGATGACAGAAACCTGGCAGAGTGATGGAGGAGGGGAGGGGAGTGATGGAGGAGGAGAGGGGAGTGATGGAGGAGGAGAGGGGAGTGAAGGAGGAGGGGAGGAGAGTGAAGGACGGGACGAGTTGTGACGCAGATGCATCATATGTGCGTGCAAAACCTGTGTGATGTTGTTGTTGTGGTTGTTGATGTTGTTGTGGTTGTTGTTGTTGTGGTTGTTGATGTTGTTGTGGTTGTTGTTGCTGTTGTTGTGGTTGTTGTTGTTGTGGTTGCTGTTCTGCTTCCTATATGGCTGTACAGGTGTACATGGTGTACAGTTTGACCAAAAATCCCCAACCACTCATGGTATGTATCTGTGTGCGTATATTTCTTGTATTTCTATGTCACTATTATGTATTATGTAACCTAACGTCTGTCAGTATTCCTGCCCGTCATTTCATTCTTGTGAATATCTTCTTATCGTGTATCTGGCCACTTCTCCAAACGGGATGTACCGATATGGCGGAAGTTGAGAGTTTGTTGATCTATTTGTCACCGCAGAGCTTTTTTGATAAGCTTGTGTGAAGTTTTCAACCTGGTCTGTGTATGACTTGTGTGAGCTGGGACATAGTCCTTGATGAATGGGACACTTGTGGCTATGTCTGGGACATAGTCCTTGATGAATGGGACACTTGTGGCTATATATATATATCATGTGTCTGGGACATAGTCCTTGATGAATGGGGCACTTGTGGCTATATATATATATATATATCATGTGTCTGGGACATAGTCCTTGATGAATGGGACACTTGTGACTATATATATATATATCATGTGTCTGGGA